CATTATATTAAATTCAATATTTTTTAAATTTTGAGAATGTAAATTTGCAATGACATACCTAAAAGCACTGCAAATGAGAGAGAAAAATGTCTCATTCAATTATTCGTCCGTTTAGGTATACCTAGTATCTAAAAAGTACTACGTATGAGAGACAAAATTATCGCGGTCACTTATTAACCCGCTTAACTTAAACATGAGAGCACGGCATATGAGAAAAAGTTCTTGCACTCAATTATTCGTCTATTTAGCTTCTTATATCTTAAATCACTGTGTATGAGAGAGAAAATTCTCCCTCTCAAGTATTAGTCCGCTTAGAATATGTTAAACAAACCAAATCAAACTAAACTTAAATAGATCAGACCAGTTTAAAACAAACTAAAATTTTTAAATCAATAATTTCATATGTGTCCCTTTCTCAAATATTAAATTAAAATAATTTAGAATTTCTATTTTATTGGCACACGATGTAATTATCATTTCATTTGCTATATTTTAAATGTAGTAGAATCTAAAATATGAAAATAATATTAGATATTTATTAATTGTAGGGTTGATAAATTATTTTATTGCAGGGTTGTACTGTGTGGACGTTACAATCAATTTGTGTATTTTGTTATTAGCTTTTGTGTATTTTATTGTTTTACAATCATATGAGAAAGAAAATTATCACGCTCGCTTATTAGTTTACTTATCTTATCTTCTTATACCTAAAATCAATACATATGAAAGAGAAAACTCTCTCGCTCAGCTATTACTCAACTTATCTCATCCCATACCTAAAATTATCTTACACCTAAAAACAATATATATGAGAGATAAAAATTCACCTTCTCAATTTTAGCCCGTTTATCTTATATACCTAAAAGAACTATATATGAGAATAATTTCATATGCGTCCCTTTCTCTTAAAATAATAAAAAATTAAATAAAAATAATTTAGAAGTTCTATTTTATTGGCGCCTGATGTAATTATCATTTTCATTCGCAGATTTTAAAGGTAGTGGAATCTAAAAAATGAAAATAATATTAGATATTTTAGTTGTAGGGTTAAAATATTTTATTCCAGGGTTGTACCGTGTGGACGTTACAATCAATTTGTGTATTTTGTTATTAGCTTTTACCTTAAAGCATATGAGAAAGAAAATTATCACGCTCGCTTATTAGTTTACTTATCTTATCTTCTTATACCTAAAATCAATACATATGAAAGAGAAAACTCTCTCGCTCAGCTATTACTCAACTTATCTCATCCCATACCTAAAATTATCTTACACCTAAAAACAATATATATGAGAGATAAAAATTCACCTTCTCAATTTTAGCCCGTTTATCTTATATACCTAAAAGAACTATATATGAGAATAATTTCATATGCGTCCCTTTCTCTTAAAATAATAAAAATTAAATTAAAATAATTTAGAAGTTCTATTTTATTGGCGCCCGATGTAATTATCATTTTCATTCGCAGATTTTAAAGGTAGTGGAATCTAAAAAATGAAAATAATATTAGATATTTTAGTTGTAGGGTTGATAAAATATTTTATTCCAGGGTTGTACCGTGTAGACATTACAACCGGTTTGTACGATATATTTTGCCATTAGCTTATACCTAAAAACATTACATATGACTCATATAAGAGAGAAAATTACCACGCTCGCTTATTAGTTTACTTATCTTATCTTCTTCTACCTAAAATCAATACATATGAGAGAGAAATTTCTCCCGCCCAGCTATTACTCAACTTATTTCATCCCATACCTAAAATTATGTTACACCTAAAAACAATATATATGAGAGATAAAATTTCACCTGCTCAATTTTTAGTTCGTTTATCTTATATACCTAAAAGAACTATATATGAGAGAATAAAATCTATTGCTCACTTATTAGTCCGCTTATGCATCTTATATCTAAAAGCAGTATATGTGATAGAGAAAAAATTTCCACTCAATTATTAGTCTACTAATTTTATACCTAAAAGCACCACATATGAGAGAAAAATTCTCTCGCTCAATTATTAGTCACTTAGCTTATACTCCCTCCATTTTTTAGTTGCAATATTCTCATTTTCACGTTTGTCACCGCACAACTTTGACCGTCATTATCTTAATTTCACTATTACTACGTATTATTTTTTTTAAATTTTGAGAATGCATATTTGTAAAAAAAATTAAATTCACTATTAATTTGTTTTGAAATTAGAATTACTATTTTTTCTCATATTTCCTTTTTATAGCTGAATGCTACGTGAAACCAAAAAACTAAATGTTACGTATGCAAGTAAATAACAAATTAAATATTGAACATATAGTATACGGAGAATTACATAGAACTGTACAAATAAGTAATTATATGAAGTATCAGTGTCATATAAAAGAAGAAAAGATAATAAAAAGTTATTAATTTGAATACTTTTTTGGAAACATTAGAATGCAAACAAAAAAGTTATATCACTTTAAAAATAGAGAGAATTTTCTCATCTAAATTGGAGTGAGAAATTTTTTATGGACTTTCAAAAAAGTGAGAATTTTATCATCTAAATTGTCTATGTGTACGCTTTTATAATCACATTGATATAATTTTAAACATAATTATATTCACTAAAAATTAATAAGTCATAGCATTATTCATATTTTGTACATATATTGGGAATTTTTTAGTTTTTTAATACGAAATATTTTGCATAGAGGATGGAAAATAGAAAGTTGCTTAATAAATCTTCAGATTTTGTTAAACAAAATTGTGTATGCATTATTGGTGTCATATGAAAGATCGTAAAAAATTATGAATTTTGGTATATTTTTTATAAAAATCGGAGAAAAACTGAAAAAGTTACAACACTTTAAAAATGGAATTTTTTATACAATGGGCCCCATTAATTAATTGATGCCACGTTTTTTTAATTGAAATACAAATCCTCACCTTCGTTGATTAGCCATTAGTGTTGGTATTCCGTTTAACTCCTTGAGTTGGCCACATGGACTTTTGTAGAGCAAAGGAGAAAATTTTGGAGAGAAAGACACATAGGATTCATTAAGGATATAATTGTCATTTAATGAGCTATTTCTTTTCTTATATATAAATAGAAGATGGATGAAACAATAAAAGCCTTTTATTACTCAAGTACAAATAGAAATTGGTGGCACAAGACAAATGAGTATTGTAGACAATCTCCAACACTTTATAAGATCCTCCCCATGTGGGAGGTATTCGAGAAATCAAAGTGGTGAATTTGAGAGTATTTTCTGAAATGATGATCCTCTAACCTAGTTCGAGTGGTCGCGCAATCATTGTGTGTCTCACCTCAAATTATAGTGTGGGAGTTAGCTTCTTGTAGAGGAAGCTAGTGACGGTTTTTGATGAGAGATTGTAGAAATTGTTAAGAGAGATGAAACAATTAAGGACTTGATAAATTGTATTTGAAATTTAAGGACTCGCACAATCAATTAGTTAAGAAAGATCTATTGTGCGCTTGATAAATACTCCGTAAATGACATGTCGGAGATCAACATTGTTTGATGATCTAATGCATTGTTCGACCTATTTAAATTTAAATCTCTCAAAGGATTTGAAGTGAATATTTGTGAGCTTAGTATTAGTAGGGGAAGTCATGATCATCAGATAGACCGTCGCTGTAACGTTGTTTGCCTCTCTGGTAATGAAAAAAAAAAAGCTCGGAATCCCTTAGATATCCTTATTTGGATTCGTGTCACCAGGAAGAGAGAGCAATGAGAGAGCAATTACATTATTGAACTCTAAGCCATATTCTCTGAGGTTTCTTTAAAAATTGAAAAACCTTATGGAACATTAGTTATTAGAGAATCTCAGTGTTAAACTATTTTTCTCTTACTCATTATTTTCACATCATATTTACCTAATAAATTTAATTAATGTCAAAGTTTAAAATTCTTGAATCTTGATCGATAAAGACTTACGGAGTACATTATTAGTTTTTCAGTGACATACATTAAATGTATTATAACTAAAATCTAAAATAGCTCGAAATTCAAATCATCAATTTTCTTTATAAATAATCTTCTCAAATAATCACTACTGTAATCTTTAAATTATTGCTCTTTGTTCGAAACAAGGAAAATCTTGGATTAATAGTAAAAAAGCACAGATTTAACCCGAGCAAATTGAATTTTGGATTTGTTTCTTTTGTATGAATTTGGAACGAATGGGGAATTTGTAGGGATTTTGAATTAAAAAAAAATTACATGTTTTGTATCTTTAGGTTTTTGGTTTGGAGTGTTAAATAAGTCTTTCAAATAAAAAATTTTAAAGAAATGAAAGTTGTGTCTAATAAATAGTTAAATGCACAACTTAACACATTCATGCGGTATCCGGAATTCAGGATGCGTGTACACACAGAGGATTGTGAATTTGTAATTGTCATTGCTTTGGAGTCTGGAGATGATCAGATGAATATATGATTTCTCGCCTTTTTTTTCTTTTCTTTTTTGAAAACAATGGATTGCATTAGCACGACTGTTTTTTTCTAAGCCCATGAATGTGATTGGTAGGGTGGACATGTAATCATGTATGTCAATATGTGACTGTCTATTCACCTTATTCAAGCAATAAATTGGAGATTATCTTGTTACTAATACATTTGAGAATGTTTTTAACTAAAATGAAATTTTAAAATCTTGTCGGATCTAATTTGAACTATTTAAGTCTAGAATGACTTCTTTAATTGTCTAATAAATGTGTGATACATGTGCATTTTAAGAGCCGATGATTCTGAAATGATATGTTTAAGTCTGATTTCAAATTGAAACCAATCCAATTTATGTGTCTATTAATGTTCATGGCTTTTTTGTATATTTTTGTGTACAATTTATATGTTGAACTCGTTAATTGGAATTTAGAAAGAAAAGTAATTTAGTTTTTCAGCATCCAATTACTGAGTTACACATAAATATACAAAACAAAAATAGTCATGCACATTGATAGACACACCTTCTATACTTCAAATATTTGAAGTCGTTAGAAGTTTTATTTCAACACCCTAGGTCAATAATAGTGGGCTATTTAAAGTCTGGTAAAAGCACAACTTTTAAGCTCTTAATTAAAGAGTACGATTTTTAATTGAATACACCGCCTACTTTGACATTGTGATAAAGTTTTTTCGCTAAAAGAGTCAAAAATCCCAGCTTATTGCCATTGCAAAAACAACCCTCATGCAAGCTGAGACGTATTCTGTGGGCAAAACACTTTGTGACCTGGTTGAGGTTCCATTGCCAGCATTTTAAAGTACAGTAACCCTTAGAAACTTATCCTTTACTCCGCATCTTTTTGTTGCTCTAATTTTCAGACGGTTCTGCCCAACACCAATTCCTGTACGATTTTAAATTTTGGAGATTTGAACCCCAAAATCACATAACAGTGTGGCTGAGGTTCTCTCATCACTTGAAGAGGCAGATGACTGGCAAGATGCATCCCTTGCCGGCTCGTCCCTCATTTCACTGAACTCTAATAATAATAAGCTTGAGAAATGGACCTGGAGATAGTAGTGAAGCAAATAAAATGGAGCTCATATATCTATGGCTATTATATTAATGTCCCAAGCAACCAAATGTAGAAATAAAGCCACATGGGTCCCATCAAACTCACATGCCACCCAAATGCCTTTATCTCTACAACTGATAATCTGGAAACATTAAAGTGTACCAAAATGGGTTTCCCTTAGAATTATTGATTTATTAAGGGTGTGTTTGGATGAAGTGTTTTGAAAGGATGAGCCTAAGCAATTCACGAAAACTGTGAAGTTCACGTGCAAAGAAAGAAAACCTTACTTGCAAAGGCGGTTTTCATTTGATTTAGGGATTATGTTATATAGCTACGCTCCAATCTGTATTTTCTCACCAGTTTTTTTCCCTTTGTACTTCCAGTCCTCCTGAGGATTAGAGTGAAAGCCAGAAGAATACATCCTGACAGCATCTATATGCACATATCGGATCTCATACCATGCATATTTGATTTCTTTGATTTGTCTCCACAAATGAACCCTTGGAAAGCGCCATGGACACTAAGCTTCACAAAAGGGGGTCAATCCGATCTTCAATCAAGAGGTTCAATCCGATCAGGGTCACTTTATCTGCAATAAACCATACTTAGATCTCTCATTCTTCTCTAACATAGCTTATTCTTGGATGCACAAATTTTAAAGGACAAGCAATGCACACGTGATGGTATCCACAAGGGTTATTTGAGAGAAACGACAGAAAAAACATTTAATAACACCCATTCAGCAAAACAAGTTGGTCAAAAGAAAATTCTGATTATTCAACTTACTATAACCTGTTTGACAAAAAATTGTTATAACCCGAATCAGGTTATTAAACACTAATAGAGGTGCTGATCCACATCAGAAATTTACATAAATTTCAGTTCTTGACATTATGTAACAATCAATTCTTAAAAAAGTTAACCAAAAATATATGAAGTTCTTGGTAAGTTAAGCTTTGAGAAAGAAAAATTGTACCCAAGAATGCCCCACAAGGCCACGATATCCACAGATAAAGTAAATCTCACTCATGATAGCATTCAAAAACATTCTTCAATGTAAGCCCACCCATCTCTTAAAAGTCAAAGCAGCTTCTCTCTTTTTAAGATGGGCTTCTGTTTGAAACTTGGGAGCCTTTCCTTTGTAGAGTGTTTTATGATATTTCAAGAAGAGTGCACGATACTTGTACTTATCAACAAACATTTTCCGTTCCTCCATCATCTCCACAACCTCATTTGCTCTAGTAAAGAAGCCACCTCTCACAAATGTATAAAGCACCCCATCCAATAGCTCCTCATCAAACCTCATGCCACCACAGTTCGCAATGGATTTCATTTGACCCCATAAATCTGCAACCTCTGTATATTCTCCACCCACAGATGCATAACCAGTTACCAGAGAATGGAATGTTTGTGCGTTTGGCAAGTGGCCCAAACTCCTCATTTTCTTAAAAGCCTTATCAGCATCTTTCATCAGTCTCTTTTTGCAGAAAAAATGTATCACATTGTTCCAGTCATGAACTCCATAATCTACTTTCTGTCCTTCTTTTATTTCCTGCAAGAGTCTTGACATTAAATTGGCTTCTTCTTTACCATCTATACACTCGAACCTTTTATGTTGCCCTAACCTTGGAATTTTAGCCTCTTTCATCTCCTTGAACAAATGAAGAGCTGATTCGGTGTCTCTATGGAGAACCTGTGATTGAATCATTACATCATAGCAGCTTGTGTCTAATTGGACACCGGCCCTACGAGCATCTCGAAGGAGAGACATTACTTCTCCTGTTCTTTTCTCTTGGCAGTATGCTTTCATTAGCGAAGAATAAACAGAAGAACCCGTTTTAACACCAGCCAAACGCATTTCATCAAGAAGATCATGAGCCAGTTCTAGCCACCCAAGTGAAATACACGTGTGGATTGATTGAACCAAGACTGAATCATCAACTGAAACAGGGGAATCTTCTTTCTCAGCTTTGATAAGGAAGGCCACCAGATCCTGTGTCCTCCCGGCTTCTAAGAAGGCCTTAACTAATTTCACATATACTGATTCTGATGGTTTGAGAATTCCATTCTCACTTGTTATAAATTTGATTTGGTTTTGTAGCTTAACAACCAAGTCATCAAGCAGCTCTTCTGCCTCAGCCTGAAGTTTTAAAAACTTCCTGTCCCTACAGAAATCTTGAAAAGATAAGATCTTCTGTTGCAATTTTTCTTGATTTCCCCTATTTAAATCCCCTCCGCCATATACATCAAGTGCAGGGTTTGATGAACAATTGAACCACTTAGAGCTCTCAAACAGTAAATTAGCCACCCCAAGAGAATTTTGAGCTTTCTTTGCCTTTCGAAGCATTTCCAGGACCATGTGGGAGGCAGATTCAAGATCTCCAGAACTCAAATGGCATGCAAGCAGACAATTGTAAAACTGTCGAAATTGAGTATCGGTGAGGTCATGGGCCTCGTCAACATGTCTCCTCAGCTTCTTCAGTTCATCCAACCGTCCATTCTTCTCGTAAATATGAGCCATGATGATCAATAAGGTTGTGTCAGCCTTTATGTTGATACGAGGCAACATGTCAAGAAGCTGCTCCGCTTTTCGGGTTGTGCCAAACAGAACACATCCAGCTAAAGATATGTTGAACGAAGTGATATTAGGTTTCATGGCAATCAGAGGTGAATTGGTCTTTTTACGCGGGTCGACTCTCCCATCTTGAAACAGATAACCTATTTCTAGAACCAGCTCAGCAGCAAGATAAGCTCCAGAGGCTGTTTGTGACATGTGACCTATGATTGCACACCAGTGACCCACAGGGGGGAACCTTTCTATCTCAACAAGCTTCCTAAGAAGGGTAGATGCTGGAACAGGCAATCGGCATTTTGAAAATGCAAATGAGAGATAAAACAAGCTCTCTTTCTCCATTAAATTAATCTTGTCATCCTCAAAGATCTGTTCAACTAAAGTATAAGCCTTTTCAAGCCATTGAACTTCTAGACATTCCGCACATGATGTTACAAGTCTGTTCAGAATTGACATTCTGGGGAGCCCATCCATTCGGATATGTCTTTCTAGAAGTTCCCAAGCATAAAATAGGTTACACTCATCAATTGCGTGTTCTATCTCCTCGCTCATTTTACCGAGGTCCTGAGCCTGGACAAGGACTGTCCCACCCAAAGTCGAAAATGATTGAGATAACAAATGATGAAACCTAACCAAATTACATTGTCCATTTATGTCGATCAATGACATACCAGCTAACTGACTAACAAACTTTAATTTCCCATCAGCATCAACGGGGAGGGATTTGTATAGGCTTTTACCACTGCAATTAGCAAGATTCAATTTTAAAGAACATAAGGTAAATTTCTCCTTCAGGTGGCTCAGTTTCCTAATGGGTACCATCCTTCTGAAATAGATGCCTTAGTGCACCAGATATGTTTATATCAGCCAAGAAGTGTAACAACTACACAATACAAAGATTTTTTTCACCTACACTTTAGGAAGGGAACAACAAAGAAAGAGCAAAAGTCAGAAGGAATCCTTTAAAAAAAGTAGAATAGTTGCAGAATGTAAGAACAAATGAAAAGAGAAAATCTTGATTAAACAAAAAACAATGACATTATGTTTTCTATTCTACTCAATCTATACATTTATTGATCTATATATAATAAAACTGACTGGAGAGATAGTAATAAAGATGAAAGTAGACGGCTGTAAAAAAGTAAGCACCCGTGCTGATTGCAGAAGCATATATCAATTATTTTATAATTTGCTTCAGTATTTAGTCAAGAGTTCTTTCCAAGAGTATTAATCATATCATCATCATCATTACCCCAGTGTTGCAAAGGCTCCCACCTACGGTGGGGTAAGGGGGGGTCGGATGTATGCAGTCTTACCCCTGTACTAAAGCAGGGAGAGACTGTTTAAGAATATTAATCATATATCACAAGTATATCAGTACTCGAAGACTTTAGTATATATTTCAAGAAACTGGGAAAGTTAATTCAACCACATAAAAAACCCTAAAATGTTGACTTTAAGCAAGTACCATATTGAGTTATTGTCCAACACCATACGTCTATAATGCACCAGCTGAGTATAATTGAGTTATACTCTACCAATACTCCAACTCTATCCCCTTTAAATTTAAGATTTGAGGGAGTAAGTAATGCTTTTTATGTATACAATATAAAGACATGCATCATTGTCCCTTTTGTCTCTTTTTCTATCAATGCTCACTATTATCTCCTTTGACCGTATAACAAACTAATAAAGTGATCTTGTTCATTATTGATTTTGTTAACGTTTTTCACTTGAAAACAAATGCAGGGTTAGTACACTTTAAACTGAAAAAAAAAAAAATAGAGGGAAAGAACTTGGACTATGGTTAGAGATAAATTAGTTGTGCTGTCCTAGAAATCACTATAGTTTAGGGGGAAAAACTGTGACTCTAACTCTATCCTCTTTAAAAAACATATTTGAGGGAGTAAGTAATGCTTCTTTATGTATACAATATAAAGACATACATCATTGTCTCTTTTTATCTCTTTTTCTATCAATGCTCACTAGTATCTCATTTGACTATAAAACAAACTAATAAGGTTATCATGTTCATTATTGATTTTGTTAGCCTTTAGTGATGACTGATGAGGTAGTAAGGTTTTACAATTCTTGAACTGAACCTATCTAAGTGATACATGAGTTTGGCACTAGCAATCAATGCTTGTATTTAAATGAGCTCATTAGGCTGCACTATTAAACATGTATATATAAGATATGAAATCACTTTGAACTGGATGTGTATAATATTTATAATGTTGTTTAACATTAGTTTTGTATCAATAGTCTTTAGCTATTAAAAGTACCTGATTGCTATATATGCATGCCATGCAATACAGTGCAAAAACTATGACAGAGTATGTTTTTTACAAAAACAAAAACAAAAACAAACAAGGCCATACAGGTCTATGATGGATGTTTACATTTTAATCCCAAAAGGAATTATTTTTATGCATTAAAACAAAAACAGAGGCTAAACCCTTATCCCTGAGTCCATATTGAATAACCAACGTATTCCAAATTAAGATAACATAGAAGTCATATGATTAGTGATGCTATACTGTTGGTGGATACATTTGGGCAGACTTTGTTTTAAAATGCAAAAAGGCTGACAAGTTAAATTTTCTCATTTTCATAATTAATGTTTAGTTAGACCCCTCACCTGGTATGACCTTTTACATATATATTGCATACAAAGATTATATTCTACCCCAGCTCTTGAATTTGAAACTTAAATTTCTGACTTTCATTCAACAAAATGCTCAAAGAACGAAAAAAAACAGTAGTTTTTGTCACTCCAAATGGAGTAATTGGGATTTGTTGATAACAGTCTCACTTTAAGTCGATAGTATGGTTTCTACTCTAAAATAAGAAAATGCGTAGATGCTACGGATTAAAGGAGATTGTGACATATACCAGTTATGATGCTTCAGTTACTTACATTCCAGATTATTATTATTTTGAGAGAGTTACATTCCATAATTCTAGTGTGAATAGTAGATTATCAATTTAAGCTTATCAATTTCATTAACTTGATATAAGCACAAACTTTTGGTTCAAAAATAGTTGGACTATAGTTAGATGAATTAATTTTACTGTCCTAGAAACCACTATAGTTTAGGGCAAACAAACTGTGACTCCAACTCTATCCCCTTTAAATTTCAGGTTTGAGGGATTAAGTAATGCTTCTTTATGTATACAATATAAAGACATACATCATTGTTTTTTGTCTCTTTTTCTATCAATGCTCACTATTATCTCATTTGATTGTATAAAAAACTAATAAGGTCATCATGTTCATTATTGATTGTGTTAGCCTTTTTCTGTTCTAAGCCTGGTAGTCAGATTTGGGTGAACTCACCCCCGAGTTGTATTATGGATGCTTTGCCATTTGACTTGATTAATGCTAATTAAGATGGTTATTTCCAAACAAATAAAAAATCAAAGAAAAACAGAGGCAAGGAAGTTGGCTCCTTTTTTATGCAAATAAACACATGAAAAGAAAAATCACACTGAAATAGTGAAAAAGAATAAGTTTTTGAAACTACATCCCGTAAGCAGCTGAATCATAGTGTGAGTAAATAAAAGGAATTCAAAAGCAGGACAAATAGGGGAAGAAAAGCAGCGAGACCGAAGGAGATGAGCAAAGCTTAGGGAAGAAACGGAAGGGAAAGATACCTGGACAGTTGGCGCGACAAGACGGAAACGATGAGAGATACAGGGTTAGAACTTACAAGCCGCCGAGCATCTGAGAGTCGAAAAGAAGCGGAGGTCATCGAAGAAAGCTCACATTGGAGAAGCGGCAAGCCGGCAACAGATGGGAGTTATGAACGGAAGTTAAGCGGAAGAGTAAATCTTTTAAAAGAGTACCATTTCATAAAGCAAATGATTAAGCCAATTTTTTTCCGACCCTAAAATGCCCTAATTTTTTTGCAAGATTATAAGATTTTAAGATAAGATAAGATATAAATATTTGGAATTATGAATAGACTGTTTTTGAGTTTGTTTGGTAATTCGTTGTATTGGCGTATTCTGCTGAAATTTATGAAGTTTTGCATAGAATGACTGGATTGGCTGATTCTGCTGATTTATGAAAAATTATAATATCGGTATTTAAAATAGATTTATTAATAAAATAAAGAAAAAATCGAAAAATACCTGAAATGATTCTCTACCGTAACTTCAGTCAATAAAGCCTGAAAAGTAACTTCAGTCTTACTTTTTCGTATTATTACATAATTCAACACGTGAAATTAAAAGTTACGCGTTCGATGAAAAAGTAGATTGATAAGTCTGGTAAGCCAAAAAAATTTGATCACCAAACGAACTCTAAGTTGCAGCAAAGGTCGACCAAGGGCATTTTAATATAGTCTGTACTCTGTATAGTTTCTATAAGGGCATTTTGGTACTTCAATAAAATTATAACGTATCTAAATACTTGAAATATGAGTTCAATTTTTTTTCAACATTTTAATTTCATTGTATAATAATATAGGAAAAATTGAAAACAATAATCCCAACTATTGCTGGTCCGCTGAAAATAATCCAAACTATTGATTATTTTTGTATAATCCCAACTATATAGACTATCCGCCAATAATGGTCCATGACCATATTTTACCTCTATAAAAAGTGAATTTTAAATAGAAATTAAGCGTAAAAATTAAAATTTGAGATTATTTATAGGGATTACTTGTTATATCTCATCTCATCCACTTTAAAAACTACAAGAATTTATTCATAAGAACCATTATTGGCGGAAGGTACCTGAAGTTGGGATTATTCTGTAATAATCAATAGTTGGGATTATTATGAGTGGACCGCCAATAGTTGGGATTATTACTATCAATTTTTCCAATAATATATGCAACTGTTTTTATGAAAATAATGGCATACTAGTATTTTATTATATGACTAAAATAGAAACTAAAATAAGGACACATTTGCTTTACTAGTAAATCATAGTCACTATAATCATGTTTAACTTTGTGCTATATGAAGTCATAGTCATAATGAATTTACTCATATTTTTGTTCACGAGGTTTATTCCTTTAATATTATACTCCGTAAAAAAATTCTTTTATTTATGGAGTGTGCCGGTAGGGGCATAACCACGGCACTGGGTCGGACATTTTTTAAATTTGGGTTGGGCCAGGACTGGCCCCCCTTAGCTATGCCCCCATGTGTCGGTAAGGAGACACTTCAGAGTATCATGTCTTTTTCTTCAACATAAGTTGAATTTTTTTCTTTATGATTGCCAATTTTTGTTAGATTAATTATAACAATTTTATAAGATTCGTTCATTGATTTAATTTCTATATCCCTATAGTAATTCTTCAGAACTTGAAAGCAATGATGAACAATTTGAATACGATATTGATTCATTGTGTAATTCTTTCTCTTCCCCTTATCAAACTAAACGGTCATGCGGAATCAATTTCATATATGATTGATTGTCATCAAATAGATTCAATAGTACATTAGATGATTGACTAAAGATGATGTCTTACAACTTTCTAGACATATAATTATTTTGTTTATTTTCCAGTCTCGGTGGAAAATGGTATGATGAAATGATGTGATGAATGATAAGTATACACCTTTAAAGAGTCACTTTTTCTACTGATATCAAGAAAATGTAATACTTCTTACATAATAATATTGGGTGTTTGATAATGTGAAATTTTTATTTTTAAAACTACACTATTAATAACATTTTTGGTTATTGGATGTTTACAAAAGTTTGATCAATAATAGTTTTAGCATTCCTCAATTGCTTAGATCATTTGTAATTATATTCTATAAACACAATTCAAATACATAACATAATATTTATATATTTAATCACAAATGTTTTTGTTAGTATGAAATGATCCCAACTTCGTCGAACTAGTTTTATGCTCTCGCAAATTCTTCCCAAATTTTTGTTGAAAATTGTATGTTTTAGACTAATAGTTTTGTTTTTAGGCATTGACTAAGTTGACATGGGATGCTTATACCATACAGTCAGCTATACGGTAGGCACCGTACAGCCTGTGGCATCTTTAAGAGGAAAATATAGGGGTAGTATAAAATGTGTAGTGAATTGTGTTTAAAAGAAAAAGTAGGAAATAGAATGAAAAAGTAGGAAAGAGAATGAGGGTAAATGAGTATATTTATTGAAAAAACTTTTCAAAAGTAGAAAGAGGAACAAATATTAGAAAACAACCCAAAATGGAAAGAGAGACAAATATTAGAGAACGGAGGGAGTACTATATACTACGTAGTACATATTTAGGATTTTTTCGAAAAAATGCTAACATATGTGTTGCAATGTAAAAAATACTAATTATTTGCATTCTTTGCACTATAAAATTACATATTTTGTATGAAGATAAATAGTCCAAGATTACAAAATAGTGAATTTAGTTTTATTAAGGTTAAACAAAATCAAAGAATGTATTTCAAGAAAATATAAAAATTTGTTCAAAATTTCACAATAAGACTAAAATTAAAATTTATGAATTTGAAATGGTTCATTTACCACGGAATAATAATAATTTTGCAGCTCAAAATTAAAAAGTTAATATTTTAATACTCCGTATAATAATAAATATTTATTTTTAAAAACTATAATAATTTTATTTTTGGTGTTTTTTGAAATTTATTTTATCTATTTAAAGTCAATAAGGGTAAATTTGATCCTTTATAAGAACATGAGGGGTATTTTGCACTTTTTAAAAGTTCAGGGATATATATGCACTTCATCATATATTTTAGGGGTGTATTTGTTCTAGAAGATACAACAAGGGTATATTTGTTCTCACACCTATACTACAAGGGTATATTTGTACATTTTGCTTAACATAAATAACAAATTCATAGCCTGAAGTCCTAGTGCCGCTACTACTCAAAACCTAGCGCCGCAATGGGTATCATTCAGGTCTATCCGAGAGTATTTCCTTCTGGAGGTTTTGGTCTCCCTTGTAAGGTGTTAGAGACTGTATAACCAAGTCATATCCGTCAATCCAACTCGGCGAGGAATTGGACGAGGGGGGGGGGGGGGGGGGGTAGCTCCGCCTCCAACCCCCTCAGGGGGTCCGGGGGCGAAAATTTTGGTCCGTTTCCGAGGAGCCGCAAGTTTTTCGTACAATTCCGTACAGTTTGGGCCGTACAGATGTGGGCCCGCGCGCGTCCTAGTTATTTTAGGGGTTAAGTTTTACTCTCTATAAATACAAGCTCTCTCCCTTGTAATCCCTTGATCCGAAAATATTAATAACATTCATGGCTTGGTAGCGACCCCAGACGTAGTCATTCGTGCCGAACTGGGTTACCAAATTTCGTGTGTTCTTTATATTGTTTTTCGTGTTGAGTTAATTAATTCCTAGCAATTGGCATAAGAGCCCTAGGTTCGAAGGGAAGAAACACGATGGCAGACAATTTGAAGACCCCTTTAATGCAATTTGATGGAGTGGATTTCGGTTTCTAGAAGTTGCAGATCGAAGATTACCCGTACGGTAAAGATCTATACCAACCTCTGGATAACAAACCAGAAGAGATGAAAGAGAGCGGTTGAAAGTTGCTAGACAGGAAGGCGATGAGTGTGGTTCGATTGTTGTTGTCCAGAAACATCGCCCTACACACCGTCAAAGCAAAAACAACGAAGGAGATGTTGCAGATTTTATCGGATATGTACGAAAAACCATCCGCTGCGAACAAGGTTCATCTGATGAGGCATCTTTTTAACCTAAAGATGTCAGAAAGCATGGCAGTTGTGGAGCATCTCAACGAGTTCAATTTAATCACCACACAATTGAGCGCAGTTGAGATCAAATTTAATGACGAAATTCAAGCCCTAATTTTGTTGTCTTCTCTACCTGAAAGCTGGGACGGAACAGTGACCGCAGTTTGCGCTTCAGCAGGAAAGGAGAAGTTGAAATTCGATGAAGTCAGAAATCTAGTGGTGATCGAAGAAATTCGCAAGAAGGAATCAGGCATGACTTCTGGATCGGCGTTGAGTACAGAGAACCATGGCAGATCGAAGTCGAAGTCCAAATCAAATCGAGATAGATCCAGATCTAAATCCAAATCAAACAGCATAGGCAGAAAGAACAGAAGTCAGATCAAGTGCTGGAATTGTGAGGAGTATGGACACTTCAAGAGCCAGTGCAAGGAGCAGATCAAGGATCAGAAGGAGAAGACATCCGCCAACGCAGCGGCAGAATCATCTGGCGATGATCTCCTGATCTTGAGTGTGAGCAGTCCGTTGGAGTCATGGGTTCTGGATTCTGGAGCTTCGTTCCATTCATGTGGTAATGCTGAAGTGATGGAACAGTATACTCCGGGCAATTTTGGAGAGGTGTATCTTGCCGATGATGAACCTCTGAAAATTGTCGGAAAGGGTACTGTCCACGTGAAGACTCCGAATGGATGCATGCTGAAACGGAATGGTGTCCGACACATTCCTGGTTTGAGGAGAAATCTTCTTTCAATTGGACAGCTGGATGAGAAAGGTTATGCAGTTACATTCGGCAGCAGAAATGGGAAGATCACCAAAGGAGCCTCGCTGGTTGCTAAAGGGAAGAAGGTGGGTACGTTGTACATGACAACGAACTTGAAGGACTGCATTGATGTTGTTGTTGCTGCAACAAACGATGTAAATTTGTGGCATTGTCCTCTCAGTCACATGAGCGAAAAGGGGATGAAGGAGCTGTGCTCGAAGGGTAAACTACTCGGCCTGAAGACTGTTGAAGTTGGCTTATGCGGGGATTGCATATTCGGGAAGCAGAAACGTGTTTGTTTCTCGAGGGGGAGAAGAGCTATTAAACCGGAGAAGCTGGAACTAGTTCATACCGATCTTTGGGG